GGCAAGGTGCTACTGGCGGATCAGCACAAAAAGACGTTCACTTTATCACTAAAAATAGTCCGTCCACCACCCTTTGACCAGGTGAGCGGCACTGTGGTAGTGTACAAGAGCAACAGCAAAACAACAACAAAAATTCACACTTGACAAACTTGTCCTAACCTCTGCGCTAATGTACCTTTGGTTTTCTGAAGGTAGAAAAAGAAGAAATATGTAATGGCTGAAAAAGAGGTGTTCCAGGCAGTGTGTCTTCAGATGAAAGGGAGAAATGTCGCGGCTGAGTGCACCAGTGAGAAGAGGAGTAACTCCCGCGCCGGGCAGACACTCCACTGGCGCTTCTCAGTCTCTCTTTTTCTCTTTCTTTTCCCGCCGCAGTCTGGAGGAGTCATCATCGAGAGTGATCACCACCAATCACCTGCATTCACCGAAGGAGGCTTCTGCTCTCCTTCAGAAAGACGCCACCAGAACACCAGTGCAAAGTACTTTCAGCAGTACTTGTGTGCAGTAGTTCACCTGCAGACGTACATGATCGTCTGACTGCCGAGCAAACAATTAGTGGAGTCGTTCACTTTACAACCAGAACTGCAATGTCCTCAATTATTGCCACTCTTGTCACCCCTGTGATCGATTGTCACCATCATCCATTCGCAGTTTCACTTTTTTCGCTAAATAGACCCTTAACGAGCTAATTGGTTTGCAATTTTAAAACACCTTTTAGTTGAGCAAACAGCTATTAGAACAAAAAAGAAAAAAGATTGGAAGTTAAAGACATTCCAAAATAGAAAGTAGTGCAAGGAAAGTTCGGCAAATTAATTAACCAAAAAGTCGTGCTGCTCTGATGCAAACCGAAACGATATCGTAAATAATAATTATACAAACCAAAAATTGCGGCAGTTTGGGTGATTTGCAATGCTAAACATGCTAAGTCTGTCAATGACACACTCATTTTCTACTAACATTTTATTGTTTTTTGTCGTTCTTTTCTAATTTACCGTTTCTACTATTTTTCGANTTCTACTAACATTTTATTGTTTTTTGTCGTTCTTTTCTAATTTACCGTTTTTACTATTTTTCGGCGATCAGGGTTACAACTTTCTTTAGTATATTGTTTAAGTTAATTTTTTTACATATTCTAAACAATTTCCTAAGTTAATAAAAAATAAATTAAACAAAGATCCAATGAACTTGATGAGTGATATCGTAAAAATTGTAGAAAAGCACAAAAAATATAGCCAAGTGTCACAAATTACCCTTTACATGCAAAATGCCTTGCCAGTGCAATACTCTACTGCCGGATCATTTTCAAAACGTAGTCGTAATTATCCCCCTTTAATAGCTTTCTAATGATACGTTTGGTGCTTGTCTGAGTTGTTTTGTTCGGTGCAAATGAGCCTCGCAACATCTTCACTTTCCTTCTTCTTGCTGGTACATAAAAAATCTACCAATCGCTTCCCTATTTTACTTGCCTCAGTGAACGTCCAAAAGTTGCCCCTAAAATTGTTCCCTTTTGAAAGTAAATTAATGTGAACTGAAAATCATTTGCTTCAAAATGGTTTCTAAGTCAAAAAAAATGTTTTTTTGACAATTGCACAGTGTAATTTTGTAATGAATCAACAGGTATATAGAAAAAACTGAGAATAACTTGAAAACAACAAATGATCTTTGATCTTAAAAAGGAAAATAAGCTGATTCTGGTCTAAATATCATATAAAATAGAGATTACCAGGCAGCAATATCCAAGTGAATGTAGTGGCCATTACATGAAACATGTTCAACAAGTTAACATTATTGCATCCAATTTAAGAAAGAAGCCTCTGTCGTTGTATGGTTAAGTGGCAATCATTAGCGCTTTTGAATAAATAAAAAGCCATAACAATAAATAAATTGACTGTAATTGCCACTTTTCCTTCTCTTCAGACAACACTTGTTGAGGCAGTTGCTTGTAGATAGCGAGCCCGTACAAACATTGAGTGAAAAGTGTAGAAGTACGGCGAGAGCATGTATATGAGAATCCATTCAAGCACTGCACTGATCACATGCAGCAGGTAGCCGGCCTCGCCAGAAGACCACATCAGGCGGACTTGTTTGTCGTCGAATGCCGCTCTGTTCACCACCATTGAGAACACTCCACTGGTGGAGTAGACGACCAGAAAAAAGACACAAAGAGAGAGAATGATGCGTCGAAACTGTGCCATCCTGCCATCGCCACGAATGGCGGCGGCTGAACTTTCAAAGTAAATGTCGAGCATAGCAGACGAGAAGGCAAACGCAGTGAAAACATTGTGGCAAACCTGGATTAGTACTGATTCGTTGTTTCGGAAACAGCCGATTAGAAGAAAGCCAAATGACATGCAAAGGCCAGAACGGAGTGACAGTGAAGCATGCCGAAGTATTTCCCCTAGCTTGGTCAGATCTTTGGTCGTTTCCGAGCTGCCGGATCCGTCCGTTGAATCAACAGTTAGAAAGGTCGACTTTCCAGCAAATGATCGGTTAAGATCGTAGCGAAGAGCAACAAAGAGTGCACTGAGAGCAGCACCGCCACACATGCACAACGAAAACAAAGATGCCTCTGGTGGAACTATTCCAAGATCGCTGCAAAAAGAAGAGAAAAGGTGAAACATTTAAAAGTCATTATTATAATTACTGTAATCCGATTGTGACCATTGTCATTACCTGACGTAAGGAAAAATGGGATTTATGTGACCGAGAGAAGTGGAAAAGAGCCATCTAAGGGGGAGATTAGTGAGCATCAGTGGTTAGTGGGTCAATCTGACAACTGCAACTTACAGCAGAAGTGGGAAAAGAATCACAGCACAAGCAATGGACAATGGAATACTTCTGAAAAGAAAGTGCATTGTAAATGACTTGACTTTTTGCTATGTTTATTTAGTTTACCGAAACTGTGCTAGTGAAATGAAAATATATACTGACACAACGTCCACCGCATCAAGTTCACATCGATGAACTTAACTGATGGCAAAATATTACACAAAACTTGAGTTACTTTCATTTCAATTAAAACATTTTAAAACAATCTAACAATAAATGTTTTAAAATGTGTTAGGAATTTGACCAGAATAGCCTCAATAAAAACAATAAACTCCAAGATTGTACGAAAATCAGTGAGCAAAATCACTGAAACAAACAATAAATACGGAACATTGGCAATTTTGTTAAAATTATTCATGGCCTTTAGACAGTTTTAAAATTCAAACTAAACAATGCCATAAAATGAATGGTGAAAATTAATAGTGACTATAAAACAGTCAATTTGGACAGTAAGTGGAGGTTACTGAAAAATGAAACAACAAAAACCCAACGGCAAAAGTAGCAAATGCAAGAGAGGGAGAAATTTACACCAGAAGCCGATAAACTGTGCTAAAAAACTTTTAAATAAAAAGTAAATTGTTGAATGAAAAAAAAGTGTGTTACTTTGCAGATGCCCAAGAGTGAATTTGAATAGCGAGGCCGAGAAAGAGAGAATGAAAGTGAAGAGGATTCAAGGGCAGAGGGGCGCGGAAAGTGAAGCAGCTGACAATGAAGATGAAGGCACCGGCATTACAATGGCCTGGCTGAAGGGATGCTCACTTCTGGTGAAGAGTGAAAGAGCTTCTGTTTTTCCTCTTTTCTCCTCCTTTTCTACGCCAGCAAGGCTGGTCGACACAATGGGAAATTAGCATTCCTGCCTCACTCGGTAGCCATAGCATAATGGTGACAGTGTGTCAATTGATGCAGCAGCAGCAGCTCAGCATCACCAGCAATGGTCATTCGATGCAATTTCAGGCAAGAGTGTGCTGTCCCACTGACTGTCCCACAGTACGGCACATCGGCACCTGCGGCGAGGAGGAGCATCATCATCAGCGCACTTTAATATCGTGCGTTTTCTTCTTCTTATCAGGACACACTAGCAAAGACTGCAACGATTCTACCGTTTACCTGCATTTGAAAGGATTGCACTTCAGAATGCACTTTATAAATTGGCTCTCTCGCGCTGATGGACTGGCCATTTGTGCAACAGCCGCAAACCGCCACAATGAGCTCGCTCAAATTCGTTGTGCTTTTCCTCTTTGCCTCTCTTCTGCCCGTAATCAGCACCGTTTCCAACCGGGCACGATCGCCGAGGTCCAGCTTTTACATCTACCGCTATGATCTCACCAGCATCAAGGTATTCCACAGCTAAGACAATTGTTTACCATTTGAAATTAAATTGACTGTAACTTTTGCACTGCCATGACCATCAGAACAGACCAATCACGCGGCAGGTTCATCCGATGATCCTTGCGCGACGTTCGTTGCGTGAGATGAATGGACAGCCAGTGAAGGATGAAGAGCTCATGTCTCTGTTTGAAGCGGCACGGTAGGCTTTTAATTTACAGTTTATGTGCCTCTCTTCATTGGTCATACTAACCGGGAAATCCACTTTGTTCCGTTATCAGCTGGTCACCGAGCCACTATAATACTCAAGGCTGGAGATTCGTCTACAGTAAACGCGACAGTAAAAGCTGGAATGACTACTTGGACGCTCTCGTGCCAGGAAACAGGAAGTGGGCCAAGGACGCAGGCGTCCTAATGGTGGTACTCTCGAAGAAATTCAGCACGTACAAGGGTAAAAAGGAGGAGGTTCATTCGCACAGCTTCGACGCTGGTTCAGCTTGGATGGCTATGGCGCTCGAAGGTACCGCGAGAAATTTGGTAGTGCACGCAATGGGTGGATTCGACCACAAGAAAGCTGCCAAAATGATTGGCCTCAACAGTTCAGACTACCGAATTGAGGCGATGATTGCCGTTGGAAACCGCGCAAAGAATGGTGCACCTGAAAAGACTACACAGCGAAACGAGATTGAAAAGTTTATCTCCGAAGATGTGTTTAAAGAAAAGCTTGAGTAAAATTAATTTGTGAACATTTACAAAAAAATGAGAAATGTACATGTCATGTCATGGGCAATGTCAACATGGGATAATGGAAAGTCAGGATGTTGTAAAAGCTGGATACAATAAAATGCTCAAACATTGGTAGAGTTGTCTCGAGAACGATATACAACGCCGCGACTTTTTAGTTCACGGACAATTCCGGGCGGCAAGCGGCCAGAAACGCTGATGGCATAGATGCCCATACACTTGCGATCTAAAACAATCCGTTAGTAAAGGTTTTTGAGTTAAACTATCTTAAGGTTAATACTTATTTTTTTCCATTTAGCAACCCAACTTTCATCGGGATTTGTCAGTGCAAGCATCCTGAAATTGATCAATATCATCAGCAAAAGAACATAAACACAGTAAAACAAAACACAGTACCCGTCAAAGTTGTTGGAGGTGCAATCGTACACCATTTCACGATTATTTTTCATTCCGAGAAACTCTTCACAGTTGTCACAGCCATCAAACTCAAATTGTTCAAAAGACTGATAGCAGCAGAAAACAAGTGCACAGACAATTTACTAAAATGAAATGACATTTAATTAAGCTTACCTTTATTAAAGAACACAAAAGACATGCTCGAAGGTGACGAAGATCGTTGGGAATGCTTAGTAGTTCTTCTGCCATTGTGCCGCCCAATTGTTTTATCTTGCTGATTAGATTTGAGAGATAAACAATCGGCAAAGAGTTGTCAGAAATGTTTGTTTTGCAAACTGAAACAGTCGGCAAACAGCTGAGGATTTTTTTAGCGTGCACCGTGGACCGTCCTGAAACAACGTTCAATTTTCAAAATCGATTCTCGCTTTCTGAATCAGCTAAAACAAAAATAAAAGTGTCATAAAGTTTAGCCAGTTCAAAGTGAGCGAAAAGCGTGTGAACGGTAACAGAAACTGTACAGTCAAAGGAAACAAGCTTAATTAATGAGCAATTGGTAAAAACAAAATTGCAAACCAGTCATCAATCGGCGGCACAATCTACCGCTCAGTGTAACTAATGAAGGCAATAATGGATTAATTAAATTTGCATGGTTGTCCTTACTTGTGTGAGCACCGGTGAGCACATTTAATTTAAGCAAGAAGGATGCAGTTCGGGGCCGAAAGTAAGTGCGGTCATTTACATGGAAAACACGAGCAAGCGCAATTACCTGGCTGATGAACTTTACAGATTACTGCACTTCAATGGCACCGACAGAGCAACAGTGTAGCCGACAGTGTTGCTTTCATCAACTACGATACCGGCACATGTTGCTAAAGAAAAAACAAAAGCACCGATCAAATTTTATACCGCCGTTGCGCTAATTAGCGTTGTGTGGTTTGCGTTTTCTAACATGAAACACTTCTAAAAATATTCATAAAAAAACAACAATGTTGTTTCGGCTGGCGATTCGTAGCAGTAAGTGCAGGTTGAAGACTGTGAGACAGTTCAGCTGAGGTGCTCTCCAATGAGAATGGCTGGGATATTTTTGCAACATCGACATTTATAAAAGAGGACTTGCAAAATGAGCTGGCGTTTAGTTAGTTGTAGTCTGTTGCACCACTCGTTGAAGCTTTCCAAACTCTACAATGGCCCTCTTCACTTGTTATCCCTTCCTCCTGGTGATCCTTTCCATGTGTCTGCAAGTGCAGGCTCAATATCTGGACAATCGAGAAGACCCGTACATGTCTCCCTACGTCCGGCACAGTCCAGCGGCTAATCACCGGTCAGTGAAACAGCAGCCCATTGATGACCTGCCCTCCTCCCAGTCACTCTTTATGATGGACTTTAAGCGACAAGCCATAGTGATTCCCGAAAATGGCGAAAAGTTGTCCAGTAAGTACACATTAGTATCATCACCCCTTTCCGCTCACTAAAAAACAATTTCACCCCCTTTTCAATAGAAAATTCCTCCAATCACACAGTCATTGAAAAGTACATAATTGACAGTAACTCGCCCGAATATCAGCAACTGCTGCAGAAAATGGTCTCCGTTGAAAAGAGGCCACCTTTTTTTCTGCAGGCCAACCAGGCGATGGCCTCAAGTCGATCAACGAGCATCAGCAAGGCCGACAGTGAACACGAGCTTAGCAGTGTGAGCATTGGTGAAAAGGAGAACGCCAAAGGCTCGGTGCATTCGGGCCTTCTGAAGCACAGTCACAAGTTCCTCCAGTCGCCATATGACACTGCCAACTACCACCACCACCATCACCTCATCTCATCGAAGATGCCCATGGACTTGGACAAGAAGGAAAGCATCAGCAGCAGCAGCAAATATGCAACGGTGGCCAGTGATGATAAAGCGCACCTCTTTGAGGACAGACTGCGCGGCACGCTGAACGGCACATTGAGCGAAGAGCGGTTGACGCTGAGACGCCTGCAAGGTCAACTGCGGGCGTCACTGGAGGCTTTGCTGGTCCAGTTGAGCGACCTGAGAGCCGCCGCAGAACACGAAATTAAAAAGCTTTGTCACGATGAGAGCTGCAGAGATCATCCCAGTGCTGATGCTGGCGAAAAGAGCAGCCAATTCTTTGGTAAAGAGTACGACCACGAACAACGTGGCCACCACTTTAACGTTCACTACGTGACAAAGTACTCTTCCTAGATACAAGCTGATGTTTTTGCAAATAATTGATTCCTTTACTTGACAATGAATTGATAATAATAATAATAAACTTTTTGAAATGAAAATATCAAAGACTAGATCTGTTGATCACTTTTGGCAAATGCAATCAGTTAAAGTTGACACGGTTTCGTAGATGGCTAATGTCTTTTGGAAAGTATGCCATCAGGAACAACACTAAAAATAGAAAAGTATCAGCATACATAGTAGAAGAAAGCAAACAGCAAAAACAGCTTATTACCAACTGAAGAAAACAGTCCAATGGTAGAGAAAGATCCGAACCAACCGAGATTCTTTAGAATAATTTGAATAATAAGTGCGCCAAACAAAGAGACCAAAGCCTGCAAGAAAAGAAAACATTGTTGTGTCTGCTTTAGAAAGTAATTTCATCTTACCGGAGCAGTGAAAAGAATGCCGTAGATGGTTCCTGCGTGCATTCGACCAAACACTTGTGCGCAAGCAGTGGGAAAGATCACAAAGATACCAGAGAAAGTAAAGAAGATGGACACAACCCAGATGAAGAAGAGAAGTTTGCTCTGGTACACTTCAGTCAGCTCAAAGGTGAACATGAGGATGGACAAAAGACCGCAGAGAATATTGACGCACACACGAAATGAGGTTTTGTCAAAAAGGTTTCCCCAGAAAAGACGACCACCTGCGTTAAAGATGGAAGAAATGGAGCCAACAAACGCGAGAAAGTGGTCATCTGCAACAGATAGTACGTTACTTTTAAAACTTAGTTTTCATTATGATTAAAGGCTAATATTACCCCGAATAAAGGTTTGCCCAAACGCTTTGTACATTGTGTTGATAAACTGCGTAGACTGGGTGCTAAATGCAAACATTAACCATAACTAGAGGTGATGAAAAAAAGTTAGTACAAAAACAAATGATTTCAAATGGAATGTAGCTCACCAGGAAAAACTCTCTGGTTTTTACAGCCTGACGATAGGTGAGATCGATTTGAGGTGGCAGTTGGAGATTGGCGTCCTGGTCATCGCAACTGCTGTAGCCACCTGCCTGGTCATTTGGTGAACTGCCAATGGGAGACTCAAAGGTAATCGCTTCCTGGTCAGTGGGAGAGCGAACAAGTAGAAAGCGACCCTCATCAAAGATGATTTCATTTGGCTGCCTAGGCGGCGTGAAAATGAGACAACAACCGATGAGTTGCATGGTCAGGTAGAGACCGAAGAGGAGCACGAAAAGAGAGGGGACGCGAGAGAGGACCAGATCGTTGTAAAAGTAGCCATCAGTATCAGGCGACAAGTTCAGTGGATTCAGATAAGCCGTCTGGATATGAGTGAATATGAGACCTCAAACAGAAGGACATTTCTATAAAATACCTGGACGTGTGTAAAAATAAGAGAGCCCAGGCCGTAGCCTGCAACTGTTATTCCGTTGACCAGCCCTTTCCGTTTTGGAAACCACTAAAAAAGTGAAACAAAAATGTATAAAGCATCCTCTTCTTAAGCGGCTGGTCTCACCTTCATTCCTGCAGCCAGTGGAGCTACGTAAGCCAAGCCAACTCCCAAGCTGGACATGAAGCCATAAGTCAAGACAACCATGAGGAAGTTTATTTGGATCGTGAAGTACGTCAGTCCAATGGAAATGCTAAAAAGAAAGTCATGTCAGCCGTTGAACCTCAAAAGAAATGCCTCAAGTCATACCAAAATATTAACGACCCAACCAAACAAGTCAATCTAAAAAGAAAGGCTGTTATAAAATACAGAGCAAGCAATAAATAAAATTGGTACCTGGGTCCGCATCGATTCTCCATAATTCCGCCAACACTCATCAGAGTGCCTTGTCCCAGCATAAATGCAGCATTCAACCAGATGGATGAAGCGTAAGTAATTTCAGGATCGACATTTTTCCGTAGATACGATGTCAGGTATGTGTTTACATTTCCGAGTGTGTAGAAGGTTCCAAGAATTAAGTGAATGAGAAAGCCTCCAATCACTGAGGAGATTCCTTTTGCCTGATCGCTTAAGTAGATCATCTTGCTGATGACTGTTTCAAAAGTGGCATCAAGGGCAAATTGCCAAAATCTTAAAGCGCGCAGAGGTAGTCAGACAATCAACATTAAATGTAAACAAATAATTATCTGCTTGTGTACCACTACATTTATGAAGATAAAAAATATAATTTCAGTAAAGCCTTATTCAGATCTGATTGTTGTTTGGAGTACTAATAAAATGAAATGCAATCTCAGAGTAGTCACTTCTGAAATAGGAATGCAGAATGGTAAGTACGAAGACTAGCTGAAATGCACCTTTTTTGGTTTTGAGTTCAAATGGTTCAGGGTGACTAGAATGTAGAACAGATTTACAGAAGAGCGAAGAATGTCTGTTTCAGAATGAGACCGGCAAGTGGAATTGCACTGAATTGCACATTGGAAATGACGTACTTATCATTCTTTGGATCACCGAGGAGGTAGTGACATTTTGGAACGCTCAAGCCACGCACACACCACAGCTGTCAAAAATAAGAGAAAAAATATTGCAAGCCATGCATTTTGGCGGCATCTACTGTTTAAAACCGAATGTGCTCAACATTGTCTGGCCGTAAACGGAGACTGCCTGGCTACCGATGCACTTTGAACGCACAAAAACCCTTTGTCAAAACGCTAATGGTATTTTTAATTCAAGAAAAAATAGATTAGAGAGTAGTTTTGAAAACAAAAAGCCACAACATTAAAAATAAAAATTATCAGAACTAGATAAAAGCATTTTAAATATTTGGTCGCGCTGTAAAGCAGTATGACAAGTTGACCTGTTTGGAAACAGTTTTCACAGTGCATTATGTATAGAGGTGAAGCATTTATTGTGTAGGGGAAGTTCACAGTTGCTAATCTTCAAAGTAAAATTAAGCAGCATTGTGCCAGCTCAGTGGTAGTGGTGAACGGTGTAGCACCAGAATGTTGTGCCCATGCAACGTCAGTTAGACTCGTCCAGTGCAGCGTAGACACAGTGGCAGTGCAGGCGGCCAGATGGCCAAAGTTTCCAGCAATTCAGACAGATACCTTAACTGGAGCATCAGAAGGGGCCATCTTGCCGGACATGTACGCGTTGAGATCAATGCCACTGAGCGCCTTCACAGAGGCGGGCACCTGTGCTAGGAAGCTGTTGATGCCATTTGCCACAGTGGCTTCATTGGTGCTCGAGTTGATGATGATCTCCGAAGTTCGGGACAGTGGCTGAGCCACCAGTCGGGCAAACTCGGGCATCACTTCCAGCACCTGTGAGAGAACTGCTGCATCGTTAAACTGAGAGAGCGCTTGTGCTCGGATCTTCATCGCCTCGGCGTCAGCTGCACCAATCATTTCAATTCGTTTTGACTGTTTATAAGAAAAATGATAATGGCAGTTTGCTCCAATTAAAAAAGTTTCATATTGTTACCTCAGCTTCTCCAATCATTCGAATGCGCAACGCTTCTGCTTCAGCCATTGCAATTTTTGCGTTTTTATGGCCCAATGCCTCCATTTGAAGTTGATAAGCTTCCGATTCTGAAAAGCACAATTGTTGTCAACATGATTTGATAGTCAACCAATAGTGCTTACCTGTGGGAAGATTGACAGCGCAAAAAAGATCTTTTTCCTTTCGTTGAATTTCACTTTCTTGAATCTCAATCAGTTTTCGACGTTCAACCAGTTCAACCTGCTTCTGTTCATTGCGAATCATTTGCTGAATCTTTGTTGACTGCAGCTCGTAGGCAAGCTAAAAATTAAGCATTCAAATTAGTTTTACAACAAAAACACATTGATATTCTGAAACTTGCCTGTGTCTCCGCTTTTTGTGTGTTCACCTACAAAAAAATGTGTTACAAAAGTTAACAACCATCTCCTGCAAAACATACCTCTGAATCAAAGTGTGATTTCTGCATTTGGTAGTTTCGTTTTGCATCTTCAGTGTTTGCATTAGTGGAGTACCTGATGTCCATTGATTCCTTCTTGCACATTGCCTCTTGAATGCCAGCATCTCTTTCGGCGAGAGACACTCCCATTTGAGCATCACGTTTCACCTTGGTAAAAATTATAGTAAAAGTGTAAGTAGAGTAAAGTAAAGTAAAAAGAGTAAAGTAGTTACCTCTGCAACTCTAGCTCTGCCAAGGGAAGCCAAATACTCTACCTGTTGTCAAGGAAAGCAATGGTTAAACCACATTAAGTTGAGAGACAAACGTTCTTACTGTATCATAAATATCCTTGATGGTAAAAGAGATCACTTCAATTCCTGGTAGGCAAACTTTTGTCAGTAAATTTACTAAGTATCTGGAGTGATACAAACCCATGCGACCCAAATCAGGCGATGAAACTTCACGCACTAGTTGTGCAAACTTATCACGATCCCGGTAAATTTCTTCAACTGTCAGCGTGCCTGAAGTTAAAGTCAATGTTACTCCACTGATTTTTTTGTACTAAACTAAAGTTACCTAGAATTGCTCGAAGGTGGCCCTCCAGTGTCTCTAAGAGGACGGCTTTCACCTGTTTAATGCTCATGCCAAGAAATTGTTCAGCAGCCAGTGTTAAAAACTCCCTCTGAGTCATGATTTTGCATTGTGCAATTCCAGTGACGCACAGTGGCACACCTTCGGCGGTCTCCACATTTTCACATTTAGGTTTCAGCGAAAAAATCTCCAGCGACAACACCTGGACGTCGTTGACCGCCCACCAAACCCAAGCCCAGCTTCCAATGATCATCTTTTTGGTGGTGGCGCCACACCACCCACCAGAGATGATGAGGGCCCTAAAATGAGTTGGCAATGATGTTGTCAATACATAGGGAAAAATACAAATGCTCGAAATAATCTTACTCATTAGGCCCGACAGTGTGTATGTTCCCTATGGTGAGATAAGGGTGCAAATTTGCAAATTAGCAAAGAAGTGACTTCAGTGAAGCTTTAGTGTACTGTGTTGGGTTGCGGTAGTGAGACCGCGACAAACCAACTACCACTGCAGTCAACAACCAGAAAGAGCATTCGCACAGGCAATTGCGAATATTCTTTTTATAGACTGTTTGACCTACTTCGGGTAAAAGTGCTATAGAATAGGAAGTGCTTTTATTCTAAACAAGAACTCGGTGTACATGTTGTTCACTGCCTTTTTCTCACTCTTTAGCTTCTCTCCACTCTCTGGCTATATATTGGAAACTACTGCGTCATTTTGAGACAGTCAGTGAGAGATTGTGTTTGTGTGTCTGTGCGATCCAGCAGACTGTTGAGGTGCTGACAGTGCTGGTTGGGCGCCGGTAGATGCGATGCACTGCGCCTCTCATCGAACGGCAGATGTTGCAGATGCCCTGTCATCAACGGCTGCTCAGGCAATGGTGGCGATCAGCTCGGTGTAAGGCTTGTTTGCCTGTCTCTTCTGCTTCAGCATCAACATGTAGACAAAGGATATCAGCGAAATGGCCCACTCAGTGAAGGATGCGTCTAAATCGGGATACGAGGCAACGCCGACCAGAGCCATGACACTGGCGTAGATGGCAAGCTGCACGGGGCTCTTGTTGCGGGTGCCTGTAAAAACGGTAAGGCAAGTTAGGCAACGTAACTTCATTCAGAACATTAACTCTCCATCTGCGACAAAGCACCTACCGATGACGCCAAAGACGCCAATCAGAATCATGATGAAAGATTGCACGTCAAGAAAGAGCATCAGCAGAATGAGCTTTGATATCGGATGGCGACCATCGTCGATAAAGTTTCCCTGGTAGTGGTCCTTTTCGTGAATGAGTAAGAAGATGGCGTCGGCAATGATCAAGACGTTGCAAAGAAGCAGAACATACTTGAGAGCACATCGAATGACCGAGTCAAAACCCTGACTCACTCGAGAGTTGGTGTAAAAATCGAGTGTTTTGTATACTTTTGGCATGCTCAGAGAATGTAGGTGTGTCCGAACAACTAAAACAATAAACTTGTCGTTGTTAAAAGTAGTGCACTGAACAAAAAATCAGACGTTTTTGTCTGCTGGCTGCCAGTCCGCTCGAAGTGGTGATCAGTTTACTCAGTGTAGATGTTTTCTAATCTAATCGCAATGAGCAGCATTGGCGCTCAAGCATCTTTAGCTTTACTTCCTACGACATGTTGTGATGGGTGCTGTTGGCAGTTTGCTTAGCAAACTTGAAGTTCAAAGTGCTAATAAAGGCTGCACTGTGGTAACGATCAAGCTGAAGCTTGAAGCATACCAGCAAAATGAAACAGCCCGCACACTGAAAGTATGGGTAAACAGAACGGCGTCCATAAAAGAGTATAACTGCCACTAACGAGTGACGTTTATTGGGCAATGCGGCAGTGTGGGGCCATTTGAAAGTATCGATGTGTGTGTCTGTGTGAGAATGTATGGCACTTCAAACTTGGTTTGAGGTCAGGTACAAAAGAGAGAAAAGAAAATCAACAAAAAAGAATACAAACAAATTGCTCGAAATTAAATATTTACAACTCAAGTGTGAGGAAAGGAAGAGGGAGAGTGGCTTAAAGGAGGAGGAGAAGGAGGAGGAGGCAATAACATCGCCACAAGCACAGGCCACAAACTGTGCGTTTATTTTATGGTCCGTAAAGAGCCTCTCTTCTGAAATTAGAGTCAATGTTACTTTACTACTAAACTTTTTGNTCCGTAAAGAGCCTCTCTTCTGAAATTAGAGTCAATGTTACTTTACTACTGAACTTTTTGTATTAAACCAAAGTTACCTAAGACGCCTCATGGCAGCACAGTAAGTGAAGGAGCAAATGTCGATGCCAATCATCGGCAACCAGATTCCTGCGTTATTCAGATTTAGCAGAATTAGTTCGGCGATTATGTAGACGGTGAGAATGATGGCGAAGAGTAGCGTCAAGTAAAAGTAGTAGCAGCAGATGGAGAAGAGGCCAAATACTGACAAGCCAACAATGACGACACAGTTGATGAAAAACAAATTCCGAGTTGTGTCAACTCGGGAAAAGTACTTGGGAAATGCGACCGGTGCTAGGGCAAAGATGATGACCAGAATTAAGGTTAGGATGAGTGACCAGCGGAGAATGGAAAACAGAGAGGTCAACTTGGCCATGCCGAAGTTGGTTGTTCAAGCGCTGGACTGTGTCACTGTTGATGGAACTGTTGCTCTTTCCTCTTCTGTACAAGAGCAACTTTGGCAGGCAGGAGGCTTCGCTCTTTAGTTCCGTGGTCGGGCAGGCACTCAGTCCAACTGCCTGACTGAGCAGTTGTGAGCACTGGTGGCCAGCTGACTTGACTGCCGTCAATTGTGTCGAAGTCTCTTTGAAGCCACTCGAAGCATCATTTGCAGTCACTTGTTGGCTCTGTGTGAATTGCCCTTTTTTCACCGTTCTGTTTCGGTAGAAGTTCTCACTCTCGCTCCTCTATTTTTAGTGTTTGCTCTATTTGCACTGACAACTTTCACTTGCAAGTTCAATAAGAGAATAGAGGGGAAAGGAAAGAGTACGCGTACCAGCTGAGCAACTGTCGTAACTATAATTAATTTCCCCTCTGCAGAAGCGTTTTGCAGATAAAGACGTTCTGAGCTAAAAGACAGGCAGCGAGGAAGCGACAGGCATCCGTATGATGTGCTCCATCTATTATCACTATGAAAATATGATTCGAAAATGTACGAGTCGTTAGTCACAGCGTGGGTGCAATCTGTATTGCCCTGCACTGCAGGCAACAAGCGTCTCCATTGAGTTGGTTTACTTTAGTAGGCAGTAGAGCACCCAGTTGTTGTGCAGTTGTTGCCTGAGCAAATTGCCAAACGAACAGCTTCAGATGTTCAGAGCTAGCGACACTGCCGCCATTTTGTGAGCACTAATGGCCATTCCGGTGAAATGGCCCGTCATCTGCTCCATAAAGTGCCTCAATTATCCGCGCAACCTTGTACTCGAGCCCTGTGAATCGATCATCTCGATTAGCTCACACACACAGTCATTCATATGCAGAGAGAGAGGCACCACCGATGCTGTCATCAATTGTGATGGCAGTGCTCTTGATGATCTTCTGCTTCTCCCCCTCCTTCCTCTAATATAAAACCTATTTATTAGCACGATGCAAAGGTGCTAAAGTAACTGCTCATATTTTTTTCGGGTAAATTGCCAGAGCTGATAAATGTACATCAAAAGGCAGCGGGTTTCTGTTGTTGCCGCTCGCAACCAAACACCGCGACCGTGAACAGACGTGAAGGTAAACAAAGCTCTTGGCTTGGTAATTGGGCGTTGGGTTCTGTTGAAAAGAGAGAGACCTAAAGCAAAAGGAAGAGTGGGTAAAGTGTACTTACGTCTCTTCTTGCGTTTGCATCACCAGACGGGACAACTAGAGAATGCTTTCCATTAACAGTTCAGCAGCGACAGCAGCAGCAAGTACACTTCAAATCAACCCTGCTTAGCAAGCCCCACTTCCTCTTTTTCTTCACTTGCTCAAATGTAGGTTAGATTAGTCAGCTGCTCTCGGTGACACTGTCGCTTCGACCCTTCTCCCTCCCTCTTGTTCTTCATCTCCCCATCTTGTTCTCTGATAGTCTTTATTAGTTGGCAGTAAGTAGCTACAACTAAAGCAGCAAAACAACGATACTTACCAGACAGACCGGCAAGTCCTTATCGAGAAGTCCTGAGTGTAGGGGAGAGAGAGCAAGAGAACGAAAACTGCTGCAAACAGCTTTCAAAACTTTAACGGCAGTACCATCGCTGATCACCAGTAGTGGGCAACACCACCACTTGTCGTCCATTGTTTTCCCTCCCGTCATTTGTTTGTTTACATTTAGCTCCCCAATGATTTACTGATCTTGCACACTTCTGTCAAGTGAAAGTTCGAGTAAAGTGCGCAAGTGATCGAACAGATTCAGATGAAAAAACAGAAGAGCCTGTCTCAGTGCGAGGGCAACCAACTTGTGGTGATTCAGTGTCATGCTGGTGCGAGTGTAGTCGATCACAGCCAGCTTCAGTTTTAGCTGTGAAATTGCCTAGTGCCAGCAGAGTGTGACTACACTTTACTGCCTTGATTTCCACCAAAGACATCCATTCATCGATTGGTCTGGTCTCCGCTTGGCTCGACGAGCAACACTCTGCACACTCCGACAGACGCCAGCAGTCACTGGCTGCAGCAACATCACGTTCCCACTCTTCTACCTTATCTCGCATTGTTCTCTATCTGCTGCTGTTGCTCATCACCATCACCATCATCAGCAATGACCTCCGCCGCCTTCGTTGCCAGCTCGATCGAATTCAGATCTTTCCAAGTGCTTTAGCTGTACACGCTGTCGTCGTTCGTTTCCTTTTCTCCCTCGTCTCTCTTCTTTCTCTCTTCTCTCTTTGGTTGACAACTGACTGGTGGTTCATTCTGCAGTGCTTCTTCTGATCCACTGAGACGGGCACCAGCACCAGCACACGTCACGCTTGATTCGATCAATCACTCGGTCAGAAAGGTCGTGTTCGGAGTGAGACTCACTGTTGCCGCTGCCGCCAGCGTCGCCGGTTCTGGCGCACAGTACAATGATTTGAGCATTGCCGCAACGGCCAATTGTTTCGATCCCTTTACTTTTCCTTTTCTTTTCCTGTCTTTGCTGCCATCTCTGTCACCAGTGCTGCTCATCACTCAACTTTTTCGGTGTCAGTGTCTGGCAGAGTGCACACACTGTCGTAGTCGTCGTCGTCGTCGTCGACTTTTGGCTGCCTCCGTGCACTGTGTCACCGAGCTGTGCCAGTTAAGCACCACCATCATGGCCCTTTGCGACCCGTTGCCTCTTCGACTTGCCTCGATGCCCACCGGCGCCACCACCATCAACACCATCAACCCCGGCATCACCAGCAGCAGCAACACAAAGAGAAGCAGAAGCAGTAGACGGTGGCGTGTGTCGCCGCATCTGCTACCACTTCTTCTTTGCACTCTCGTGTACTTCTTTCTTCTGTATGCTCCGCAACCGGGCACCTGTGACGGCTACTACGATGAAGCCTCGAAAGGCATAGTGAGAATCTCCCACAAAAACTTTACCGCTCTGAACAATCGCAACCTGACCATCACCTGCAAGGTCGACTTGAAGAGTCACCTCAATCAGTCGAAATCGATCTCCTTCACGACCAACAGTCGAATGGTGCTCACCTTTATGACCGTGCCTCGGCTCTTGATTCCACTCGATCAAATTCAGAGTTTCCTTCACTGCCACGACCCACAGCGAACCAGCTGCTGGGCCGAGTTTAACCAGGATCTGTCCTGTTTGGAGGACAAGATGAACTTCACCTACTACAACAAGCCAACCTACCTCGTGGAGGCAGTGTGCCAGGTGGACGACAGACACGTCTGCAACCGAGATTGGCTTGACCGGTATCCACTGGACTGCTGGGACTCCGGCTATATCACAGTCGTTCAGGGTAAGTTCACTCACTGTGAGCAATCACTCCCATTGTTTTGTACTGGTGCTTGTTTTATTTACAAAAAACGCCAAACGTACAACATTGAAAGCAAAGAACGTGTACACTTTGCAGTTGCAGTTAACGGCACTTTGCATGCACTTATATGGATAGCAGTCATTGAGCTAACTTACGCACTTTGATCTTTCTCACGCACACACGCACAACCCGGAAGCTGGCTTTGTTTTGTGTCACTGGTTAAAAAAGAGAGAACGAAAGGATAGATGGGCTACCAATTCACAGCGAAGGTTGTTTACACATTGCCCAGCTATATACAAATACCAGTTGGAATTTTGCAAATGTTTTACTCAACGTTGCTACGCGCCACAAGTTTGCCTTTTTGAGCTGCAGTAGCGGTAAAAGTGAACATGAGAATTGACATGAAGTGCGCTATGGCGAGACATTGCATTGTTCTTTAGTGGGCGTTCTGAATATATTTCTAGACACTTTCATTGCTCATTGCTGCATGTAACACTTACTTACGCCTTTCATGTACTTTCCTCCTCATTAGCGCCCAAACTGAATCACAAATGCGTCGACATATATGCCAACAAGACGCAGCAATGTGGCGAGAACCAGTACTGCGATGTTCGCACTTCGCTTTGCCAATGCTTGAAGGGCTTCTACCCTGATCTGGATCACCAGTGCATCTCCGCCAAGGGGGAAGATGCATACGAGCTAAAGATGACCGAGAATCCAAAGCCATCGACGTACACTGCCATCATCGTCAATGAGTCGGAGAGCACCGAAAACGAAAGTGGCCCTGAAGTGGTGAACAAGGCCGACTCAAAGGGCACCTTCAAGGCAATTGTCATCTTCCTCCTGGTGGTCGCCATCCTCCTCTGCATTGCCCTGGGCATAGTCATCATTTGGAGGTATTTAAATGAGATTGCTTAACTGCTCTTCTCACTTTGTGTAATCAACTGTTTGTCTACTCCTTAACCCTCTGTCTACTCGTGTCACTCTTCCTGTCTCGTGACGTCTCTTAACGCACACCTAACGCCAACACTACTAACCGCTGCTTCTCAGAGCCGAGAGCTTCTTTAAATCATAAACAATTTCAAAGCTCGGTCGCCCGACTTCACTTGAATAACTAATTGCGCACTTTTTCTAAACATTTTTTGCCTTCTTCTGTAGTCGAAACGCCAGACGGATGCTTGAAGAGCTGAGCCACTGAGAGAGACGCCAACTGCTGAAAACCACTACTCGAGGAGAGCAGCAGCTTTTTGAGCAGCTACCAACGCATTGGTTTTCTATAGAATACTATTTTTCTGCCTAGTCCAACAATCTTACATGAGTTTATTTTTTGACCAATTGCCATATTGTTTATTCTTGTAAACATCTTCCATCACATTTCATCTGGCCAACTTTTTGCCAATTTCTAAATTAGCCCTTGATTTCTTATCTCTCTTTTTTATTTCATTCTTGTTTGTATTATAACACTATATACCTTCCAGTCATAATTGTACTTGATAACTTTATTACACATTTCCACATGTTATTTAATAAATAAAAACTGGTTAATTGCACGTAAAGACAGTGAACGCACTAATTACTGGTTATTGGGTGGCTCGCAGTTGGGCACACAGTACTCGCTGTACTCGTTTACGTCACTAGTGGTGTTCTCGTAGAAATGCTCCTCTTCTGAAGGATCGTGGTGCACGTGGTGAACATGATGAAAGTGGCCATGGTTGTGCAAATGAATGTGATCGTGATGTCCATTTTCGGTCACATGTATCACACTTTCCGCGCTTTCGGTTCTCTTTGTGAAGGTGACCATCTGTTCGGTGTTGGCAGCTTCATCTCCTTCTACTTTTCCGTTCTTTAATTTATTTCTGAGATAATTTAAAAGTTTTATTAAACTGTTAAAAAATAGAAAAGCAGCTTACGAAATTCCAAGAATGTTGTTGTCTGATTCACGACGATCGATCCAAAGATTTTCCTCGTCCACTTTTCTCTTCATCTGAACATCATATTCTCGATTCAACGCCAGCGTCTGGCGAACAATGTAGAGTATAAGAACAACCAATACGGCAATGATTGAAAGGAGAATTATTGATAGTTCAAGGTACATGTCTACTACCATGTCGAGTTTTCATAAACGTGTAGTCTAAAGCTTACTAATCACTTTTGGTTGCTGTCAGACTGCTGGAGAAATCACTGTTGAAAAATGTGTCATTAAAACTCAGTATAAAGTATTTGGCGTGAGAATCTGTGATAGCCATTTGTTGAGCAATCTCTTATCAGGCAGACGAATCAAGACACGACATTTACCAATGAAAGATTTATCAGTAGCTCAGTCGAACAACGAAGGCACTTTCACTTGCATAAACTGACAAAGTCTCTATTGATTGGGAGATTTTTTGCATCAGCAAACAGAAAGTGTGGCGTAAGTGAGAAGTCAATTTTGTATGAAGGAAGTTTTTATGTTCATTTAAGTGTAGATCCTCATAAGCTCATGGTAGCTGACACTGTTTGATACAAATAAATTTTAAACGCCTGTGGAGTTTAGGAAAATAACAAATGGAAATAAATTACTTTTTTTGTCCCATCAAACGTTTTTACTAGCAAAAACCCTTAAAACGTGTATCTA